GCTCTCCTCTGAACTTGTTCCAACAGTTCCATGTCCCTTTTATGTTGAGGACACCACAGCTGCAAAGAGTGGACATGGTTTAGCTTCCATGGACATGCATGTATCTAAGCCTGGATGTGATTCTGACAGCACAGATTTGACCCCACCAGCTTCACTTTGCAAGGAATAGTTACTGTTCAGTAACACAAAGCAAAAGACCAGGAACCTGATGATCAGTGAACCCACCAGACTCGGTTCAATCTCACTTTTTTTCTCCCATCCTTCCGTGTTTCTGCATGTATTAGAAGACCTTAATAATTTAGGTGTCAAAACAGGCTGGGGAAGAGGTGCTGTTCCCCAACAGGGGCAAAGGACTCTTGTAGTGCTGAAAGTTGAGGTTTTGATTAAATGAAGCAGTAATGTCATTACATGTTACATCTACGACTTCTAAAGTCAGAGTTGACTGATCAAATCACTGCAGAAATACATGACAAGGAGCTTACAATCCAGCCTGTCTGTCTGGTATCAGGAAAGCACAGACTTTCATCATCACCTGGTAAAAAGTCAAGACGGTCCTTTCAGGTATACACAGAGGGTTCTTGAACACTGTGCCCCAGATGTCAGCTTGGACCCTTTTGAGAAAGGAGAATAAATGGGACAAATAACTGCTCTTTTACATAAGAACACTCGGGGAAGATAATACCCTTCATGACACTAAATTATACAGAGCCAAGCAAGCAAAATGATTCTGTTTTCCCTAAAGCTCTTCTCCTCCTCTAATTACATTTGAAATGTTTTCCATGCTACTGAAAATGTCATTTTCAGCTGTGGACCATTAAGAAGCCTACATGGCACAGCCACAGGTTTTATTAGGGCCGGTTTGCTGTTGGGGATTTTGATGGCAGCAGAACAGCCCTGGATTGAAGTACCTTTTGTTAGGAACATTGAACATTTGTTACCATGACAGGGGATCTTCTACAAAGGCACAATGGTGGCAACATTGTTATAAAGACTGACAACTGAATAATGAAGCAGAAACTGCTCAGATATGTGCTGTTTCTATCCCTCCGCCCCACAGCAGTAATGGAGACAAATGTAATGGTCCTAGTTTGTACTGGGGTCACTGCAGAAAAGCCCACCATGTTGTCCAAGGCCTTTGTACAGTTGATTTTCTCCTGAGCCTTTGTCCTGATGCTGTTGTTTGACGTGCCAGTGGAACACAAAGAGATCTGCCCTGGTTCTTCCACAGACATTGAAATTTGAATGATGGGGCAGCTGTGGCTTTCATGGTAAGTCAGGAGGGCAGATTTAGATTAAACATAAGGCAGAAGCTCTTCCCTGTGAGGGTGCTGAGGCGCTGGCACAGGGTGCCCAGAGAAGCTGTGGCTGCCCCATCCCTGGCAGTGCTCAAGGCCAGGTTGGACACAGGGGCTTGGAGCAAGCTGCTCCAGTGGAAGGTGTCTCTGCCCATGGCAGGGGTTGTAACTAGATAAGTTTTATGGTCTCTTACAACACAAACCAGTCTGGGATTCTGTGATCAGGATCCACTATCCAGTGGTGTCCAGGGAAAAGGCTGATGAGCCATCGCTGCAGAGGTCCTTTTAGGTTGTGTGAGCAGTGGACAGGACCTAGGTTAGTTCCTTCTAACCCTGCTACCACTTTTCTGGCTCCTCTTCCTCAATCCTTCACTGCTGTCTACTCCATAAACCAGCTAGTGCTGAGGGTTTGATGCCTCTGGGTTACATCTTTATAGGATGTAGTTTCCTTTCCTGCTGTTTCATAGACGTTGTAATGTCTCTGAGCCCAGTGCACTGCTAAAGCCACACAGGAAGAGAAGCTCTAAACAGGGTAATATCCTGAATGTAAAGTTTCATACCTGAAAAGTGATTCTGCAGACATGGTTTCTTTTCCTTTCACTGATGTGCTTTCAGCACCCAGATCCAGCTCAGCAGAAGGGAAGTCTCACATTTACACTGTGCGTTACTGGACTCTGCATTTTTTCCAGATGGATATATAAAGAAATTAAATCTATCTTTTCCCAGTCTGAAACAAGAGTAAAACAATACCTTGGCTGGTAAACCTCAATAGTTTCTTCAGCCTTGAACCAACCATTTCATTTCCATATCAGCTTTTAAATGGTGTTAAATCCTGTGGCAGTGAAATCCTTGATGTGACACCGCTCCTGGTATCAGGGGACACAGAGTGGGAAAGTGTGCTGCCCTGGGCATAGCCAGTAGAGCATTCACCTGCATCACTTTTCTTGAGAAATTAAAAGTGATATGGAATATTTCTACAGCTTCCAGGTGTTCTAATTTAAGTTGTTAACCATTAGGAAGAAAAACAGGAAAAGACCAATTCTAGTGAGAGGGGAGAAAGGTATTTTTCCTTTAATGCAAAAAGGAGGATGCTTTGGGGCAATAACACATTTTTTCTAAGCTCCTTGGCTTCAGGTACCCTTGTGCTGTAAGGGACGCACTGTTGGTCTTTTCAGTGTCAATTCCCTGACATAGCCCAGATCTTGCCCTTTAAATAACCCAGAGCTGATAAATGCGTCTTTCACAGGGAACACCAGGAGAAGCTGCACTTTGTGCTTGGTTTTCCCTCAACTCCAACACGTGCTGGAAAGTGAGGTCTGGCCCTCCTCTCGCTGTGATAAAAGAGCAGGTTTTTGATGCAGCTCTCCTGGTAAGCGCATGCTCAACCAGGCTGTAGAAGGTGGAGGAGGGTTTGTGCATCTCATTCACTCTCCTTTCTGATACTGATGCTTAGCAGTGATCCTGTCCAAGTCATGCTGTTCACTGCTGGCAGCAGGACTAGGATCAGAGGTTTATTCTATCCCAGTCTGCATTCACTGATCTCTCTCTCTAGAGAATTATGTTTTCTTTCTTTCATCCTGTACAGTTTCAACTAAAGTTCTGATGGAAGCCGAGCAGCCTCCTGAATATGGTGCAGAGATGTTCATTAAACTTAAATGGAAATGAGCATGCTGAAAAGGATAACAGCTGACACTGCCAACATGCTTAGAATACATTTCTGTACAGCCCCAAATAGCAAGCTGCTCCAAGTAGAGCATGGTGGGAGCCCTGGGGAACTTGATAAGATCTGCCCAGGAGGCAGTAAATTGGTACTTCATCCCATCCCACCCCCAAAACCATGCTCAAGACTTGTTCTTCTGATGCAGCCTGGAGGAGATCTTCATGTTGGTAGTGCACTCATCTCTGCTGCCTGGGTGCTGGACCTGTGGTATTTGTACAGGTTTTGTCACTGGCACATGGCACTTCTCCTCCCAGTTCAAGGGGTCAAGAACGTACTGTAGAGGGTTCAGTGAAGGGTTTCAAAATTGATTAAGGAATTGGAGCGCCTGTTGTGGGATGTTGGAACATCTGAACTACCTGGGGCAGTTCATCTTGGAGAAGGGAAGGCTCAGGGGGATTTTATCAGTATGTACCAATACCAGATGGGGGAGCAAAGAAAATAAGAAGATGGAGCCAGACTCTTCTTACCAGCACCTGATGACAGGACAAGAGGCAATGAGCATTATTTGAAATACAGGAAACTCCATTTAAACATAATTTAAAAGTTGTTTTTTTTCCTGGTCATGAGTAATCAAACACTGGCACAGGTTGCCCAGAGAGCTTGTGGGGTCTCAGTCCTTGGAGATGTTCAAAACTGGACTGAAACAACCCGCTTTAGCTAACGCTGTTCTAAGCTAGCAGTTGAGCTAGATGGTCTCCAGAGGTCCCTTCCAGCCAAAATGATTCAGCACCTTCATGCCCCCAACATGTAAGGAGCAAGTGGTGTCTTTGGTTGAGGTTTGTGCTTCATAGCAGGCAATTTCCTAACTTAAATGAAGTTCAAATAATGAAACAGGAATGGCTGTGAGGCTCGTAAAGACTTGCCAACACATAGTGTGGAAGGATGTCAGTCCACTGGGTAACTTGCTGACATAAACTAGAAAGGTGCCATCATTTTATTTCAGGGCTCCAGAAGATTAATACTTGCAGACTAAGGAAGTAGGCATATGGCAGTGAGTTCTTGGAAGAGCAAGAGCTGTTTAATGTCTTTGGGATGTAAATAAGCCAACAAAGATCTTTCATCATGAGCATCACATTTCTTTGCCTAACTAATAACAGGACTTCTAAGTAGAACTGTCAAAACCTTTTGTCCTCCTCCAACCTCAACAAGAGCTTCTTGTATTTCAACAAAGAAATCAGGAAAACATTCACAAATGCCCTTTTCTTCATTTACAAGTTTCTTCTCCACTGAGGAAAATGAAAAAGTAAAATAGGAAACAAAAATGGAGCTTGTCGTGGTTTAAGAAGGCCCCAAGGCAAAGTTTGGTGATTTGGTGGTCTCCTGCTAGAGCATCCATCGCTTTAGTCTGTCTTATGTTCTTATCCAGTCCAGCACTGCTGGATTCACCCTGGTTGCTTGGCAAAGTCAGGATAGCATGAGTAATTTCCTTGCATGTGTTAGCTGGCAGGGTCAAAGAAGCAAGTTGCAATTTACCTTCTGACCTTCAAATCCAAGTAGAAAGGGTTTGGAGGTAAGACAGCCCATAGGAAAAGACACTAAACCCTACAGCTTGTGGCCAGCTAGCACTCCAAAAAGTGAAGGGACCACCACAAACGGTACCTACACAGCTGTGTCTAATAGTTACAGGTGTGTATGGTGGAGGAGTGGAGGTTAGATGGAACATGAATTCATATATTTTTTTAATTAGATTTTCATGTTTCTCTTAAAATGGAAGGAAGAACCAACAGCAGTTTCTGTGACATATGGTCTTGAGCAAGTCAGCATTAGTTTTGGTGACAGAACAGTCCAGTGGAAGGTGTCCCTGCCTGTAGCATCAGGATTGGAGGACTGGGACTAGATAACCTTTAAGGTTACTTCCAACCCAAACCAGTATGTGATTCCATGATTTCTAGTACCAGGAGGGTGCTACCGAGGAGCGGGATCTCATCTCTGTGCCCAAGATACGTGAAAGTATCCAAGTCTTTTTTATTCTGTTGCTTTACTAGGAATCGCACCAGGTTGGCACTTGGAGTATGTTGACGTGATGGACTCTGCCATGGACAAGACATTTCGCTTCCAGTGTGATCGCTGGCTAGCTAAAGGTGAAGATGACGGGCAGCTGATAAGGGAACTGGCTTGTGCAAATAATGACATTCTGGAACTGAAGGAACGCACTGGTAAGATTAGAGTTGACTTGTGTTTGCTGAGGGACTGCAGAGGCCATAGGACCACATCTGCAAACTCCTTCAGTAAGGGTTCCCGTCAATAGGCGGTTTTGGTTGAAGTGTTTAAGGGTTGGGTTATTTAGGGTACTCTTCAAAAATGCAGTAGTGTGATCAAAAAAACCCCAAAACAAATCAGGATTTACAAGGAAGAAAACCATCTCATTCTGCATTGAAACCTAAGAAGGGCCCATCTACAGCAGTTCAATTCAGCATAAGCATAAGCAGTAAGACACATGGTTATGGTCTCATTAGATAAAATGAGTTTGAGTCTTTCAGGTGGAACATAAGTTCAACCCTTAAAGCTTTGTAGGTAACATTGCTCCAGCTTCTTCCTTAACATGTTCTGGGCTACTAGCTCAAGTATCCTAGCTGAACATGATGGCTGAGCTAAACACCCCTTAGCCTTGGGTCTGCTCTGGGCAATTTCCCAGGGTCTAAGGTATTACACTGGTGTCTAATGCGGTGAGTGAGTAAACAATCAAGAGTTATTTAACTGCACTGGTGATAGGCAAAGTGTATTGCAGTAACTCCTGCACCACAGTGCTCTTCTTTGTGAGAGTGGTGGAGAGTCAATAATCACATTCCTTCAGTATGATTTCACTCTGCCCCTGCAAAAAATCAGCCTTGTGACTGCCATTTTGGGTACTTAGATGCCACCACAGCACCCGAGCACATCCTGTTGGGTACGTGACTAACCTCACTGTCCTTGTTAGAATTGTGGAACAAAAACTTCTGGATTTGGGCTGTGTTGAAAAGGGAGTGCTTAGCACAGCAGGGAGCTGGGCACAGCTTGTTCAAGAGCTGCTCCATCTACTCTTGCAAGCTGATCGAGCAGTTCTAATGTTTTCATGTACTCTATCCCTGCATGAAATCCAAAGCACGTACAAGTCAAAAGTCCCACAGACTTCAGCTTGGTTTCACCCTTGTTTCGCAAATGTTTTCTTGTGTGCTGTGATAAATATTAGGAAGAGAGTTTTTAAGCAAAGTGACAGCCAAATGAAGAGATTTTTCTGACCATCTGCTCTTCCTTTTCTGTTTAATGTGTGTTAATTATGCTTTAAAGCCTATGAGATTGTCACAGTAACAAGTGACAGAGAGGATGCAGAAACAAAGGAAAACATCTGGATCATCCTAGAAGGAAAGCTGGGCCGCTCGAAAGAATTCCTTATGGAAAATTCCTCCAAGAAAAGGAGATTTGAAAGGTAGGAGGACAGGATGGTGGGCTAAAAGAACAGTTGCATGGATTCCACTAACACCACCTCTTCTCTAGTATGGTTTACAGGGTTGTGTTTGTGCCATGTTGTTTTGCATCCCTCCTTCCCAAATGCTTAGTGGCTTCTCATCTAAGTAAAAGGAAGATGTAAAATCAGTTTCTTATGGGCAGACACAGGGCAGGTTCAAAATCACTAGAAAAAGGCATCTGTAATTGGAAGTGTAGATTATATGTGTGTGTGTGTGTGTCTTTTGTATTATTGCATGCAACCAGGCTTCTGGCAGGCCCCGGGAAAGGCTGTGTGTTTTTTGAGCTGGGAGGAGCAAAAGGAAGCTGGAGGTGGTTTTAGTTCCTTTTACAGCATCATACTGGCAGAGGGAATCAGAGAGAAAGTAAAAATAGTTGGAGGCTAAATGCTGTCAGAGATGCTTAGATTTGACTTTCCAGATGAATATGTGGGGGTAAGGCTGAAAAATCACAGTCATGTGAGGAAAGCAGAATATCAGGCTCATTCAGATGAGCTGCGTACATGTTTATGAAAGATGGGACAGATCCCTTCTCCCATGTGGGACCACAGTGCTCCAATTCTAAGATGGGTTTTCTACTTTGTTTAAGGACACAGCACACTCTAAGGAGACGGAAATGTCTTTGAAGTCATGAACACTGCTTGTGTTCTGTTGCTTTGCAGAGAAGAAAGGTTTCTCTTGTGGTTCTGTAAAGGAAGGTGAAATTATAGCTGATGTGGGGTTTAATATGAATGGCTGATATTTCATACAATCATAGAACTAGATGATCTTAAGGTCTTTTCCAACCTTAACTGTTCTATGATTCTATGGTTTGGGTTGGAAGGGACCCAATTCCAAGCCCCTGCCACGGCACAGACACCTTCCACTAGAGCAGCTTGCTCCAAGCCCCTGTGTTCAACCTGGCCTTGAACACTGCCAGGGCTGAGGCAGCCACAGCTTCTCTGGGCACCCTGTGCTAGCGCCTCAGCACCCTCACAGGGAAGAGCTTCTGCTTAAGAGCTCATCTCAGTCTCCCTTCTGACAGGTTAAAGCCATTCCCCTTGGCCTGTCCCTACAGGCCCTTGTCTCAGGTCCCTCTCCAGGTTTCTTGTAGCCCCTTTAGGCACTGGGAGTTGCTCTAAGATCTCTCCTTCAGGAGCCTTCTCTTCTGCAGGGTGACCCAGCCCAGCTCTCTCAGCCACAGAGAGATGCCCTTGCAGCATCTCTGTGGCCTCCTCTGGACTTGCTCTAACAGCTCCATGTCCCTCTTATGTTGTTGCCCCAGAGCTGGATGCAGGACTGCAGGGGGGGGTCTCCCCAGAGCACAGCAGAGGGGGAGAATCCCCTCCCTCCACCCGATTTCATTATTTCATGTGAAACAGGCAAGATCAGGAAAAGCTTCTTCCTGACCTTAAGCTGATGATGTTTACCGTGGAGTTGAAGACAACTCTCCAAAGCATTTGTCACAGCCCATCCTTGGAGGCAGGCTGGAATAAGGACCAGTCCAAGCAGATAAACCTAATAGTCATGCCAGGGACAGGACAGGGAGCCAGCCAAGGGTTTGACAGAGACCTATTGTTTCTCTAAACTGTTTTCAAGCTGAGCTTCAGGAAGGGTGGATGAACTAGCAAATTTAAAACAGCTATGGTGGGTAGATGTGTAACAGATACAGTATCTGTCAAGAATTAATAAGTCCTGGAGGGGAAATTAATCATTCTTCAGATTTATCTACAATGAGGCAAATTTTTGTATTAGAACAACGTAAGTTTATACTGGAAAGTCCTGTTGACAACAATTTGAAGTGCCACCCCTAATCAGAGAAAATATTCAATTTATATGTGGAAATTATACTTTGTGTTGAATGAATGTGAGCTAAATCAAATTACTGTAAATGAAGACTTACCTTGTGTCTTCTGTAGCGTTGTGCAAATTACTTAATGTCCACATGAGACAACTCACTGCCAGCATTCAAGGTGCTAACTGAAACTGCTCCCTGTTTCCCGTAGGGGTGCAACAGACACATTTCAGTTCTCTTCAAAGAATGTGGGGGATATAGCAGCCATCTGTGTCGGTCACTGCCCAAAAGATGGAAAGAAGTCATCTGCAAAAGCTGATGTCTTCTGGCACGTCCAAGAGATTATCATAACGGAGATGGAGCTTTGCAACAAGTAAGTGCCTCTCATCTGCAAGGAGCTGCTCTTAGGTGGCATGGGGAAGCTCAGAAGCTCTGCATGTGTCCTCCTGAAGTATTTCAGACTTAAACAATAGCAGAAAGTCTTACCAAATTTTAATCCCTTTCTGAAAGCTGAGGACAAGCTGGTGTGTTGGGTACAGAATGTCCCTGCCTGACTTCCCTGTGTGATTTCTGAGTTGTTAGAGAAGGCATTTGTGTGTGCAGATAAATTTATAAACAAGTTGGCTTAGATGAATCTTGCAGCCATGACAAATTAGTGTGTCAGCTTGTGGAAAATACACTGAAATTTAAGGGGTTTGTAGGATGCTCTGCACAGACTGGCTTTTAAGTAGGTCTTTAGGTAAGGCTTTTAGGTAAGTCTTGTGAAAAGAGCTCCTAGAAAAAAGATGAGTGTAATAGAAAAACTGAACTTTCAACTCAGAGTAGACTTCGTGTCATAGTCCAAAAGGTCAGGCTGGATGAGGCTTGGAGCAACCTGGTCTATTAAAAGGTGTCCCTGCCTATGACAGGGGGCTGGAACTGGATGAGCTTAAAGGTCCTTTCCAACCCAAACCATGCTATGATTCAAAAGGCAAATATAAATGTTACAATCATGCAGCTTGGATACTCTGACTTGAACATGACTGAAATATGCCATGGCCAAAAAATGAACATTTCTGAAAAGCCCTGAGCACAACAGATCCTACTGGTTTTGGAAGGAGTGATGTTCATGACTCAGGGTGCAGATAACACAGGGGCTATGAAGGAACCAGAGAAGGTTTCTATTGGCAGAGCAAACTGCTCTTCAGAGAAAATATCCATAATGTTAAGTGTAGATTTCTTCTCTATGATATTTCCATGCTGCTAAAGAATTTAACTATAACATGTTTGTTCCAACAGAGACAATTGAGTGTTTAAGAAAAAATACTTGAAGGTTGGTTGTTGGTTTTTTTCAGAAGCTAAGAGTCTCTCTAGCAAATTAATCAGCCAGCAGAAGAACCGCAGTAATATTTGCTGAATGAAAACTCAATTACATACCAAGAAATGTTCTTTTCTTCGGGTGGGGGAAAACATGGAATCCTTAAAGTTCAATTTGAACTTAAAGTGCAATTGAATCTGTGCACTAAACTCATTGGGAGCATGCTGAAACTGCTGAAACTGTGTTTTGAAAGGGACAAAGATGTTCTTATGAAACCCCAGTGTTTTTAGAGTTGTTTTAAATTAAAGAGAGCAACGAGGAGATGCCGGTGAAGCCTGCAGCTTGTCATTGCAATGAAGCAGGGCTCCAGCTCTGCAGACATAGAACTTCACAGCAGTGTTTGCTCTGCAAACCACCTACTGGAGCAGATTGCACTGTGAGAGCAAGCTCTCACTTCAGGTATTCCCAAACCCAAGCACCAACTCACCAAGTCAAGCCCAAAGACCAAACTAAAAGAGTTGTGAGATTGCTGCAGCAGTAATTTTAAGTTATAGTGGGATGTTTGCCTTTCAGTAGTAGATCTTAAATTAGATCAGAAAAGGCAGTATTTAAAAGGCTTTTCTTGCAAATCCAAGGGCTAGAAAAGTCATATTATTTTTCTTGCTCTTCAATTAAGACTTGCATGCTCTATTACAACTCCAAACCATGAGATATTACACTCCCCAGGAAATAAAACTGCAGCTTCAGGCAGCCCCTCCACCCCTCTCACACAGTGTTTCTATCTCTGAGCCTATATCTTTTCTCCCATGAGAATTTTTCATTCTACAAAGCTTCTTTCCAAAGAAATGAGTGGTTTACTTTGGCTGCGGAAAATGTCAAAGGCGTTGGAAGTGCTTAAGAAGCACACCACTGCTGGAATCGCAGTAACCCTTCCTCCAGGTGTTTATTTTATGCACACATACAGGGCAATGCATCTGCATTCCCTCCAGGAGGACCTGCTGCAGTTCAGGGAAGGCTGGCGATTGGAGGGGAAAAAACACTCACTTGAAAATGATCTGCATTGTTGGAAATTAAATACATCACTAAAAGCAGAGTGCTCCAGCCTCTGGCTGGGTTCCAGGTACACAGTGATTTATGGATGTGATGTGTGCTCACTGCACATCAGCAGAGGCAGCACTGCAGAGTCAAGAGCTTTCAGAATCTGGTACTTACAGTTTTGGTGTTCAATGCTTTTCTTTTTGCCTGCTAAGGATGAGTTGGGTGATCTAGACGAGGGAAGGGAGGGATTTAAACCTCTTCCTCCCCTTCTTTCCCATTCCTTTTTTCCTAATTCCTAGCCCAACCTGAACCATACTATCGGTGAGGATAATTGCTGGTCTCCCTGCTCTCAGAGCAGCATCACTGGGCTGCTTTACCTGTGAGGCTGGTTGCTCATCCTACTTGAGTGGATCTGTAAATGGACATGCCATTGCACAGGAAAAAGAAGTGACAAGTGCCCTATACCAACCCTCCCATGTGTCTGTGGCTGTTTATGGAGATGCTTGGTTTTCCAGCGGCAATGTTCAATCACAGTTGCTTTTCTACAGAGAAACTATAGTGCTAGCACATGTACAGAAGCAGCGTATCGTATACGCATATATATTAATACTGGACAAGTCAGTAGCGTACCCAATCTATACCACTTGCCCAAGACACTGAGCATGCAAACCATTAACAAGCTATTAATTCTCTTTCATCAGATACTTCTTCAGGTGTAATGTGAAAATCCCTCTGCGTTACAAGAGACGGGACTACAAAGTCTTTGAGTGTGCCAAGGTCACTGAGAGCTTTGCCAGCAAAGCCAGGAGCCTGGTGCCGGTCAAATATGAGACCATCATCGTCACAGGATTTGAGAAAGGTGCAGGGACCAATGCCAACGTGTTCATCACCATCTTCGGGTTGAATGGGGATTCAGGGAAGCGGGCACTGAAGCACAAGTTCAGGAACCTCTTTGAGCGAGGCAAAACCAACAGGTTTTATCTGGAAACACTGGACATGGGAGAGCTCAAGAAGGTCCGGATTGAGCATGACAACAGCGGCCTGGCACCTGGCTGGCTGGTGGAGCGGGTGGAGATCACCAATTCGGCAACTGGTGTGACCACCATATTTCCCTGCGGGAAGTGGCTGGATGAAAACAGAGGCGATGGGTTAATCTGGAGGGAGCTTTTCCCTCGGTACTGAGGGTACTGGTGCTGCAGGAGGGCTTCAGTCCCTCTTTTTCTCATTATCCTCTTTTATATTGCATTTTACTTTTAAAACACTGCCTTTTATATTGAGAGATTTGCTTTCTGGGTTAGCATTTTGTAAAAGTGATATTGCTTTTTTTAAAGAGCTTGTAAAATTGTGAATGAAATTAGTACATTTCTCACTTATTTACAATTAAAAACTTCAACCAGTAGAGTCGTTAACTATCTTTTAGCAGCTTAGATGCCATCTTCTGCTTTCAGTACTTTGCCAGGGCTGGGAAAGCCCGCTGGCTGTCCTCTTAGATGAGTAAAGAGGATAAGAGAATTGAGCCAACGTATTTCATGGAATCACAGCATCATTAGGGTTGGAAGGGACTTCTGGAGATCATCTCTCTGGAGAACACCTAGTCCAAGCACCCTGCCAAAGCAGGGCCATCAAAAGCAGGTTACACAGGAATGCATTCAGGTGGGTTTTGAATGTCTGCAGCTTGGAGATCCCAGTTTTTCCCACTTCTTTGCCAGAACTGCATGTCCATCCACATGCCTTCCTACATCGGAAGCAATGGATACAGCAGGGCTTTCTGCAAGGACGTTTGCAAGGGCCCATTATCCACACAGCCAGCTCTCAGTAGGTGGGATCTGGGTCATGTTTTCCACCCATGTGCTTTTCCCCTCAAACCAGGGTCTGCCCAGAGCTGAGATCTACAGTTACAGCAGGATAGCAAAAGACCTACTGGATAATCAATTCCACTCAAAGGAAGCTGTACTAGCTGTATTCAAAGCTGTCTCAGGACAATTTATTTTATGTGGCCTGAATACCAACTCTAATTCAGAGCAGCTGCCGTTCATTTTAATTTTTACTTTTAATAAGGATTGCTATTTTAATTTTCTGTAGTGGAGAAGGGATTTCTCAGCCACAATAAGGACCAGTGTTTGTGTAGAGCTCTCCCCAGCTCTACAGGTACCAATAGGAAAAGCTGTTCATAGATCATTACTTCTGGAGCCACATCTCCTGCCCCAGGGAGCAAAGTTGAAGGACACATCCTTTGGAGGAGAAAAGAAGGTATCTGAGCTGCCATGGAGAAATTCAAGACCAGTTTGGATGTGGTTCTGGGCAACCTGATGTAGTTGAAGATGTCCCTGTTCATTGCAGAGGGGTTGGACTAGGATGATCTTTGAAGGTCCCTTCCAACCCATAATATTCTATGATTCTGTGAGAAGGAGACCTTCCTCTTGGCCTACCCATGTTCTTTGTGAATGGGGATCAAATGGGTCAAGAAAAGGTTAAACTCACTGAGTCCACCCACCCTCTCCACCAGTTGCTGGACTGGGAAGAATGCTCCACCAGGGCATGACCTGGATGTGTCTGACTACAAGGCACTGTCCCAGTGCTCAGTCCCTGCCTGGTCATGGGCAAAGGAGGCCTCAGAAAAGGCTAGTGATGCTGAGACAGGATTTAGGGGCATATTGCAGGTACTGTTGATTGCTCCTGGATATAAAGATGTTGCATCCCACCAAAGCCCCACCAGGGAAGTACTGCATCTTTATTTTAAGCAGCAGGCACCACCGAAGAGACTTGAGCTGTCTGTGCCAGCTCACAAATAACAGCTCAGACTAATTTGTTTTAGAAACCTTTATAGTAACTGATGGTTTTGGAGCAGAGTAAGTTGCTTAAATGAGCCCAGTAATCAGCCTCATCAATGGTCAATGACTTGCTGATGGGAATAATAATACCAGCAATGTTAACCATAGAGAATACAGAATACTGGCTGTATTCTCCCCCATTGTTACAGAGTGGTGGTACCAAGCTCTGAGCAAGGACCAAGATAAGGAGCTGGGAGCTTACAGGAGGTGCAGAACAGACCCCTAAAGGTGGATGCTGGGGTCGACAGGCATGTTGTATCCCTGGGATTTTGCTGGGGCTCAGGCTGCCCAAAGTCTGGAGCATTTGTTTTTGCTGTGCTTCTGCGAGGTTACTGCAAAGCAGCGGTTCCCTGATGTGTGTTTTGAAACAGAAAAGTGTCAGGCTTTTGATCTCTCTCCTTCCCCTCCAGCCCCAGCCTACCAAGGCTATGAAAAAAACATCCCTTTTAGTAGAATTGTCCCATTTTTAGACAAGTGTGTGCTGCAGTGAAACAGGAGGGTTTTTTCTCATGGAAATGTTGTAGTCCCAGCACTTCAGTTGGCTCCAGTCAGCACCCGCTTGGTATGGGAGATGAAAGAGATCCTGGTCTTACAGTATTGCTGCATCACAGCAGTTTAACCCGTGCCAATCCCTAGGCAAATTTCCTGTGAGGCACGTGGGACCTACACTATTCCATGCTCTCAGCCCTTGGGAGTGGCAAGGCAGCTCATGATCGACATGCTATCCCTGCATGGGGCAAGGAGGAGAGAGGAATCCTGATTGCGCATATGAGATGTGCTCACATCTGGGAGTAATCACACGTAGCAAGTAGCTACAGCCATGGACTGAGGTCCTGAGGCTCCTCCATCCATTGATTCCTGCAGGAATGAACAGCTTCGGGGTCACTAAGCCACAGCATACATGAGAGATGGGCTTGCACATACCTTGGTTGCCATCAAACCACCTACCATTCCTGGATGGGGTTGCTCTACGCAAGAGCTGTGCTGAGCTCCAGGCAATGCTGCCCTAAGAAGGACCAAGGGGCAGTTTGCTGATACAGGGGTCAGCAGTCTGCTGCCTCACAGGAAGGCAATGTTGGCAAAGCATGAAAAAACTCTGCTTTGCTCTTCTAAAGGCCTGCCCTTTGTGCAACACTCAACTCCACCCTTGCTCGGGGGAGTCGTTCTGTTGCTACAACAACTAATGCTACAAAAGTAATAAGGAGAGAGCGCAGTTTTTCCAAGGGATGGATTTACATTAAGCTGCTAAAACCAGCACGTTCTTGGCCAAGTGAAGAACTGGGGAGGAGAGAAGCCAAAATTATGTATGTAGTGCTGTGCCTTTTGCAGGGCTCAGGCAATCTTTGCCTGCTGGGGCAGAGCATCCAAAAGCTCTATATTGAACAGGTACACAGGTCCTTTTCCTCCCAACACCCTCTGCCATTATTTTTTTGCTCTTTATTTCTTAATTGGTGTGGGTTTAATGCAAATGTCTTCATCCAAAAAACCAGAAATGTAGATGAAAAGCAAGATCAAAGGACAAAGACGGTGGCACTGTGTAGGAGGCTGCAAAACCAGGCTATCCCATTGCCTATGTGGTCATTAGTTTGGGAAACTGATGAAGAGCTGTGTTTACAAAAGCACTGGGTGTTGCTGGTGAAAACCAAGTATAACCAAAGAGTACTTTGCAGTGCTGGATGCTAAGAGGGACTGGTTGTCTCTTGCTACAGGACATAGAGGATTATTTGAAAATACCTATAAAATAGTTGTGAAACATTTTTGATAGTATCACATACCTATAGCAACTTAACATGCACAAAGGCAGAGTAACTGAGGACTGTGAAGCATACTTATAATTTTTCTATCATAGAATCACAGAATTCCAGACTGGTTTAGGTTGGAAGGCACCTTATATCTCATTCAGTTCCAACCCCTGCCATGGGCAGGGACACCTTCCACTAGAGCATGTTGCTCCAAGCCCCTGTGTCCAACCTGGCCTTGAATACTGCCAGGGATGGGGCAGCCACAGCTTCTCTGGGCACCCTGTGCCAGCACCTCAGCACCCTCACACGGAAGAGCTTCTGCCTAAGAGCTCATCTCAGTCTCCCCTCGGGCAGGTTCAAGCCATTCCCCTTGTTCTGTCCCTACAGGCCCTTGTCCCAAGCCCCTCTCCAGCTTTCCTGCAGCCTCTTTAGGCACTGGAGCTGCTCTAAGGTCTCCCCTTCAGGAGCCTTCTCTTCTCCAGGCTGCCCCAGCCCAGCTCTCTCAGCCTGGCTCTGGAGCAGAGATGCTCCAGCCCTTGCAGCATCTCTATGGCCTCCTCTGCACTCGCTCTGACAGCTCCATGTCCTTCTTGTGTTGTTACCACAGTGCTGGACACAAGACTGCAGGTCTGGGGTCTCCACAGAGCACAGCAGAGGGGGAAAATCCCCCCCCCCCCCTTGACCTGCTGCTCACTCTCTAGATTTTGACATAGAAAAAAGCTTCATTTTGAACAACAGCAACATCAACAGAACATTTACTGATGGGTTTTTACAGCTCTGAGCTGCAATCTGTGGGCCAGCTGAGGATTTAGATACTACAAAACACAAACGAGGGCTAAGCTTCCCAACCTCAGGCAACTGCTGCACAAGCAGATGCTTGCAATAAATAAAGACATTGCATCTACCCTGTGCTGTTCTACCTTAACGGGCACAATCCCTATCCCTCCTCTCTTAGGCACCAGTTGCTGCTTGCTGCACTCCCAGGAACTGGTATCAGATTGTGGCAGTGCGTTTGTTTTGAAGCAAAACCAATTGCCATCTTCAGCAACTCTCTCAAAGCCCTTACCCTTTCAAAGGACATCAGCAAGATCTTAGTGGGTCACTGAGATCTTCCCCAGCTGGACCAGCAGGTCATTTTTAACCTGTTTTCTATTGTCTGAATTTATAAAAGCTTCCTATAATGGGAACTTTGCATTGCCTGAATATGATGCATCCCTTATGCAGCCTTTGCTGGATGCTGGAGAAGCTGGAAACTTCCTTCAGCTACAAGAATGAAATCTCTAAGATCAGCAGCCACCTGTCTCCAAAGCTAGTTTGTTTAATCACATAGTCAAAGCTGGGGACCTGTCTCAGCCTTTCTACATGAAACACATGAAGGGGAACAGCTGAATAGAAAGTGGGTGGGAGCAGAGACTCTCACCATTTATTGTGTAAAGAAATAAAAGTGCAAGAGGACCTATGAAATGAGCTGTGCTGGATGTGTAACTGGATGTGTGGCCCACTGGATTCAGGCAACAAAAGGATTGAAAACAATCTCAAATATATCTGTATTCATTTGGAGGTGTTTTTTTTCCCCTCTTCCTATAAATTTATCTTTCCTTAGTTATTAAAGAGGAGACCCATGGGGAGGGAGATGATTCTCCACTGGAATGATGGAGGACCAGGCGTTATCACTCAGGACATGATGGAGATAACCTACAAGCACCATTGGACATGTTTAGAGGAGAAATTTCTCTTTAACAGGCAATTTCCAGCCTGGTTTTGGAAAGTAATTTTTGGCACCTAATCACAAAACTTGTACCATAGAACATCACGCATGGTGGTGTGCCCAGTGTGTAGAGCCTCACCTTGCCTCTACCATGGAGCTCAAACTCCAACAGCCTCTGTAAACTAGCTGGGCAGAGTGTTTTATACCCCATCAGTGTCTTTTACATGAAAGTCCAAAGGCATAAACAGTGAAAGAAGAATTTACTTGAACCCAAAGAAACAAGAAAGGAGCACTGAACAAAGACCAAGCAATTCTCCCCGGCAGGTGACTTCTGTGTGGCACTGGTTTATAGTTAGCAATGCAGTTTGTTTTATTAGTTATAAATAAAGTACAAAAAATCCACCAAAAGTGAATCTAAGCATTTACACAATTTCTAATGTCTTTTCATTTCTTCAATGCACTATTGCTTTAATATTAATAATAAATATTTTTCTAGCTTTCTTCTATAAAATAGTCTATGTAGGAAAATGTTGCACAGCACAACAGAACAGCAGTAGGAGTACAAAAATGTGGGTGATCCTTTCACCAGCCCAGGTCATTAGAGGAGAAGATTTTTGTTCGCTCACTCCTTATTTCACTTACTATTTTGCAGCATCTTTGCTGTAGGGGGGAACAATCAATCCCCCATCCCCTCACAGCTCAGAACCGCAGCTACAGGCTACAGGGGAGAGTGTTAGAGAGCAGCAAGGAAAAAAAACACAGCCAAGTTTTAAACCCAGGGTAAGGCAAAGTCAACAAAGCAGAGCAGCACCCTGAAGGGACAGAGAGAAAGAAAATCAAGGTACAGTCATTCTGTGCCTTTCTAACCTAAAAGAGAATTGCATCCAAAGACTTTGGGGGGATGGCTACTGGCTGAGCACATGCATTGATCCCAATGTCTGTTCATAGACGGCTGAGCATCTGCACTGACTGAGAGTGGTTATGGCTTAAAGCTAAAAATATTATCAAAGGTGCTCTAAAACCTCCTGCAAATCTTGAGCACTTGATATTCATGAGCCTTTTAGGAAAAGGCATTTCACTGCGAGAGTGGTGAGGCTGTGGCTATGGCTGGGAATGGGGATGGAAATGGAGATGCTTGGCCACTGCTGCAGGAGCAGCACAACAGCTTGGGGCTGCCCCACTCTCTGGGGAGAGTCCCAGGTCGAGAGTAGATTAAAAAGCTCTGAATTGAGATTTCCCCCTTAACAAAGGGGGTGAAGTTAACTGGTCAAGACAATCAGCACTGAGGCCTTCTTCTCCATGTCTATTTTGCAGCTGGGTTATAGTGAATACTCATGGCAGACATTACAAAGGGATGTCGAATTACTCTCACATCCATCCCAGCCCCTCTCAGCTAGACCGTGGTTAACCCTTAAAAGCTGCAATGAATCTCTTAGTTTTGTTGCCTCCAAGCTCAGGCTCAGCTGATTGCCTCCTTCATCCTCTGCTCAGCCCCCATGAGGCATGCACACATGCATGAACAGAGGGTGAAAAGAACCAAACCAAACACCCATAGGGACAAAAAAACTACACAGAGCCACCACGCCTGGGCTTCCTTTCTTGGATTTTGAGCAATTTGAAGAGTCTTTCACTAAATGCATGCACTGCCTGAAGCACAGCTTCATACCAGGTGTTGTTGCAGCGTAACTCATGCAGCAAGAGGAGGAGCATCGCCAGCAGTGTCAGGGGATGGGGTGGTAGCAATTGACTGAAATGTTTTGGTTTTGTAGAGCATCCTTAATCACCTTCAATGCGCAAGGACACAAGTGAAAGGATCACCAGAGTTTGATTATGAGTGCAAATAATATTCATATATATGTGCTAAACACAGTCACTATATTGCAGTTTTCCACTATGTCACAGCATACAGAATCAAAGGTTTGCATTTTTATGGAATGTATCCAAGGTAACAGCACCACAGTAATACAGTTTGTAATCACACACCCTGATTTTTTTATATTTTTTAATATTTTTTTTCTGACAAGATAAGCATTACCCCCCACATCCCATGTTTAACTTTTTATTTTTAAAGTACCGACGCATGCAAAGCATTCCATTCCCAGAAACAATGCAAAAATGAGGTAATAGGAGTAATAAAAAAAATTAGTATTAATTTCTAAATAAATAAATTATAATTAAAAATGCAAAAAAAAACCTATAAAAATAATTAAATAAGAACCCACAATATCTACAAGTTAGTCATAAATTATGATTGTTAAATATAAGGCATTTAAGCTCACAAAACCCTGTAAACTATCGATGTTTTGTTTCTAGATATTTGTCATCGTTTGTCTCGTTTCACTGCTTAAACTCACCCTATTAATCTCAACCTATACGTAAATAATTATTTCAAACACAAAGGAACCTGACACACCGATGCAAGTCCAGACGCTGTAAGCTTGCACGCACCTTGGGATCAATCACTCACACGAGACCATGGGAGTTTGGTGCTTTTCTTCACCAAAGGGTACTTTTTTTTTAAGTTTGTTTGTTTATTTATCTAATTTTTTTTTAAAAACTGTGCTTGTTCATTAGGCAAATAGTAACACTTTCGCATAGGCTTTAAGAAAACACACGGTTCGGACGCGGCCCTTGTTCCCTCCCTGCATGGCCAGGGTCTAAATCACCCTGTTCCTCTCCCTGCTTCATCCCCAGCTCATGCCTAGATAGACCAGGCAGGCTTACAGTGTATTTTACTAGCAAAGCCTTGCTTTGCTTGTCCACATTATTAGTAATATTAATATTATTTTTAAGGCTGCTTCAATCTGCTGCTGCTGGAGCAAGCCTCATAGGTATCGATGGACCACTACTTGACCCATGGACATCAGGCCTGGGAATACCACATCTCCTAGGCAGCCATCATTTGCACTGGGTGACAAATAGAATTATAGAGTGTTTGGATTGGAAGGAACCTTTAAAGTTCATCTAGTCCAAACACCCTGCAATGAGCAGGGACACTTTCAACTGAGATGGCTCAGAGCACCATCAAACCTGACTTGGATGTTTCTAGGGATGGGCATCTACCACCTCTCTGGGCAACTTGTGCCAGTGTTTTACCACCCTCACTGTAACCCATTATGTCTTCCTCATTTGTCACTATTTGTCCCCCTGTGCACTCCCTCTTACCTACATGGGCACAGCAAAAGAGGGGCTCCTCCATCCTCACACCCACAGGGCTCCCCTCTTTTTCTCCTTCCTCTAGTTGGGAAAACAAATAATCTCTGGGGTGCCTCTGAGGCTGGTGTTTTCCAGCTCCAGCTCATGGGACTCTCTCAGTCTCTCAGATAGATAGTAATTTATGATTGTTTCTACTTGGAAAGCATCGCTTGGCTCTGGTGAAACGGATGCTCAGGGGAGCCAGAAATCACTAGCGCCACATCAGCATTTTCAATATATAATTTTCCCAACTAATTCCCTTTTCTCCTCCACTTTTCTCTCTTTTGCTCCCCTAGTATACAAAGATAATAATAAAAATGATATAAAAAACAAAGGGAAAAATGTGTTTATGGTGTGAATGTTGGCTCTCCGGAGGGTTTTCAGCTCAGTCCCTGTGGTTGGCAAACTGAGGTCTTTATGTCAAAAAGACTGAGCTTGGATTGCAACAGCTCAGTCTTTCGAGACAGAATCCTCCTAATTCTGTTTTGAGTGTTAATGCAATTAAGTTTAATTCTACCAACCAATGAATTCTCTGTATGGATATGTCCTGAAATGCATATACAAACGCACATGGGTGCAGGTACATATGCTTTGAGGCAGGGTCACAAGCCAGCCCCTCCAAAAAGCATCAAAACCTCCTTCCAACCTGCCTCCCTTTTCCATGCAGAAATGCTCACAGCCTCAACAGTGCCTTGTGAGCATTCATTTTAATCCCATCCTATTATCAGAGATGCTTTTGCATGCGAGAGGAGTCGGCATTATACAACTCTAAACACCTCTCTGTTATTGCTATGCTCCAGAGCACAGCTGTAGGCACAGACTCCAGTAACTATCATTTTGGATGGCTGATGAAGCCAACCAGCCTCACAGCTCACATCATAAAGCAACATAGATAATGACAATCATGAAGACACCCCTTCCTTGAATTTCAATATGGCAAGCTACTTCATTAAGATAAAAAGCGAAGAAACATCTACTCCAATATTGCACCCCTACAGAAAGTGTCCAGCATCAGCAGATAAGCAGGAATGAAGCTTTTCCCTATTGCTTCATTAATTTTATTCCAAATTTTAGTTGTTCCTTTCAAGCTTCTCTAAATTTGGGAAACACTGTAAACACAGGGAAAGGAAGCACATGCGGCTGAGGCAAAGAGCACAACCCTTCTGACTGTAAACAGGATTTTGCTTTTTCGCCTCTTCCCCACTCAAAAAGGGTGGGAAAGGTTGACCTTTTTCATCCCCCTCTGCAATGTATTGATCAGGCACCAAAATAAGGAATCTATGAAAAAATATTTGGTGCAAATTAGCTAACAGCAACATGTCCACCACAAGATGAGTAGGGCATCAAACACAACATTTCTCAAGCTAACATGCTCCAGCTGCCATCCATAGAAATAGCTAAAAGACCCCTAACATGTTTCTACATATTCGAGAGGTATATATACAATCCTCATGAAATGCAGGATTGACAGGCCAGACTACCACAACTAGTTCCTTCATGTTCAACACTTAATCTTCTGCAGCATGGGGTCTCTGAGCTCCGGGAATGCCAGCTCCCTTTTACTGGGCCCGTATCCTGCGTATGTGCAATATCTCCTACAGCTAGATATTGTACTGCCATCTCCTCCACCTCCTCCTCACTAACATGCCTGCAGCCTTTTCTTCTCAATCAAATGGCTCAGAAGGCAAAAAATTTGCTGCAAGGGTTTATGGCCATACGACCTGGTAAGGAAAACGGTGTATCCAGCCAGTCCTTTCAGCTGTCCGAGCCAAGCTGTGTTTCAATGTCCACCCTGCAGATTGGGCACTTCTTGCTGGTGGCCAGCCACTGGTCCACGCACACCTGGTGGAAGAGATGCATGCAGGGCAACCGCCTGCAGAGAGAGAGGTACCACACTGTTAAGGTTGGAAGAGGTCTGGGGGAACAAGAAGAGCTAGAAAGCAACAGTGGATGCTTCAAACACCGGTGCTACAGCCTTCCCCAGCAACGCCAGCTCACATAGGGTACTAAGTCAAAGATGGTGTCCTTCTTGGCTAAAAGCCTTTTAGAAAAGCCTACACTCTTCTAACTTGCATTTTTCTGGTTATTAATTACCCCAGCTGCTGCTTTTTTAACCATTCAGGAGCACTAGGTTTCACTGCAAAGCCTCCTGGTTTTTCACCATTGAGGCTCATTAGCAGTGGGGTGGGTCCCCATGTGGGTGTCTGGTGTAGGAAATGTAGCTGCTTTTCACCTACATTACATTAGTGCCAGTTTGTTCACTGGCATGAGTCAGGGGGACCCTGAACCACAAGGACCCACAGCAAGAGGATCAGGGTTGTTCCTGATGGTTTAAGGCGATTAAAAGGTGAGAAGCAGGATCAGGTAGTGTAGCTGCACTGCAGCTCCTTGAGACATGGTAGCTCAGCCCCTTGAAATTGCTTGCCACCATACTCTGTCACAGGCAGAGATTTGACCCAGCTGACAGCCAGGAGATATCTGTGGGCTTTGTTGTTGGCTCAGGACAGCTTCTAAACAGCATTTGGTTTCTCAGACCCTGCAACAGCCCAAGTGAGTTTGTCAGGACAAGAACAGGGACAACCCCACCAGCACACAACAGCCCTAATCCCAATAAACACAACCCAGATGGCATTGGGATCCAGAAGAGCAGATGGAAAGACTGTACCTGACATCTTCTCCATCTTCAAGCATGGACAGGCAAATTGTGCATTTCTCGTCAGTGTCCGACTCCTCTCCATCCTCTTGCCCAGCTTTGCCCTCCTGCGGTCTTCTCTGAAGACAAGGTTAAAAACATAACCAACAAATTGGTTAGGACTTGACTTTATAATGTTCTCCCAAGCCTGGGCAGTAGCACAAAGGTAAATAATAAGAGCTTCATCTATCAGCCAGATCCTTCAATTTGAGAAAACCAAAGTGACCACTGAGGGGAGGATGCTACCAACATACGGGTCATTAGCATGTCTCTTCCTGGGGCCAGTAACAATGGGACTGGTGGTAGTGTCCCACAGAGCAGCCTGACCTCTGCTGCCCTAACACAGCCCCCCCCACCTCCTCGCAGTGGAGATGGCCCAACATCTCCTTTGTTGGAGGCTTCTCCTGGAGAACCCAAAGCACATGGGGCCACCACTGCCAGGAAGGGCAATCGCTGTGCCTCATGACAGCTTAGCCACTGGCCCAGCCACATGTTGTGCCATGGGGCAGCACTTAGCCAGTCAGCTCTCCCTTTTTCTTCTCCACACACACATCCATTGCTGCTACTATAATTCTGGATCCACTGGAGATGCACTCAGAGATGAGCACAGCAGGAGTCAACTCACTTCATATGTGGGCAATACAACATCTCTACTTCTAACTGCCCAGCTGCAAATTACTAACATGTGAAATTTGTACCCAAGCAAGAATTTTGCACATTTTCTACTCACCACAACCCCAAAACGTGGCACCATCTCCTTGCAGGAAGGAGATCAGCTCCTACAGAGGAGGTACCCCTCTTAAAGGGAGGGGAGGCTCACACGATATCAAAGCACCAATTCTTGATTTTACATTCCTCACCCATTTTGGGAAATATTTTCATTGATGGCCACCGGTTTGACAACCTGAGGATCGCAACCCACCAAAGACCTTCCTGCTCTCTGCTCCGTGTGCACAGCACTTGTACAACTGAGAGGGGCTGTCACCCTTGCTGTGGTCTGGGGCTCTCACCTTCTTGTACTTGTGGGGGAAAGTGAACCTCTCGATGGTGTTCTGGACAGCGCCACGGCTCACACTGCCCAGCCTGTCTTCCAGCTGCAGCAGCTCCTGTGGCACAGCAACAGCAGCACAGCACCATCAGCATTGATCCTAGGCACAAGGTCCCACAACCCACCATACCTGCTAGTGATCAAGGCTCCCTCCTGCCCTTTCCTTCATAGAAATGTCCACCAACCCCAAGGCAGTCATTCTAAAATGATGGATCTGAGCCTTGGTACTTGAGCTAATAACTAAAGACTCAAGGCAAAGAGCACGATATTCAGCAATTCAGAAATTAGGGTGGAATTTGAGCTCTGTTGGGGAACAAAACCATGTAGGACTGAAGCATTTTTATAGAATCCAAGAACTGCTTGTGTTGGAAGGGAGCTTAAAGCTCATTCAGTTCCAAACCCCTGCCATGGGCAGGGACACCTTCCACTAGACCAGGTTGCTTCAAGCCCTGTCCTGCCTGGCTTTGAGCACTGCCACAGATGAGGCAGCTACAGCTTTTCTGGGCACCCTGTGCCAGAACCTCAGCACCCTCACAGGGAAGAACTTCTGCCTAAGAGCTCATCTCAGTCTCCCCTGTGGCAGGTTAAAGCCATTGCCCCTTGTTCTATCCCTACAGGCCCTTGTCCAAAGCCCCTCTCTAGGTTCCTTGGAGCCTCCTTAGGCACTGAGAGCTGCTCCAAGGCCTCCCTGGAGCCTTCTTTTCTTTGCCAACAGACATGGAATCAGTCAACCTGAGCCAGATGCAGGCACTTTGGAATAAACCAGCTTTTACCAGATCCACTCAAACATTTATTCCCAGTTATTACTAAAATTGCTGTAAGACTCAGTGCAACCGCCATGCCACAAAACACGAGTTTATGCAAGCACTTGCATATATCCCCAGCATTAAAAGTTGAATGATAATTCCAGCCCCTGAGATACGTACTTCATAGCTCTCCCTCACAGCTGAGGTGTGCCTGCTTGGGTTCAGTCCCTGAAGAGCAAGTAGCTGCAGCTGAGGATAAGGGTAATTTCTGATTTCATGAACAACCTGTGAGAAGCAAGGGAGAAGAATAAAGCCACCTGTACTGCACATTGAAATCCCTTGTGTACCTTGACTTAAATCAAGTGCCTTGAAAATCTAAAACAAAAGAGCAGACTGGCACCTTCCCCCAGTGGAAGCATTGTAATAACAAAAAAAAAAAAAAAAGGGTTTTATTAAAAAAAATCTCCTATAAATGTTAACTAAGAACATGCATTTCTTCTGAATAAACTGTTATAATGTTCCTATTGCATTCATAACATTGCAGCATCAAACTCTAAACATGGATCATCTGCAAAGGGGATTTTATTTTTTTTAGTTTTAAATGGGTGGATTTCTTTCCGTCCACATTTTGATTTTTTTAAGCGTCACTGTAGTACACAGGTGTCAGGGTCTAACTGTGGGGCAAGTTAAAAACACCTTCGTAGGATTTCTGAAGATGCTTTAAGGACTAGAAGTGCTTAGCATGACTCAGCTCCAAACACAGCACCCTGCTAGGAGAAGGGCCAGAAAATGACCCCAGTCAGCCCATCTTCTCATCAAATCCCACCTCCACCTGTGATAAACCTCTACAGATGGCATCAAGGCTGGTGTAGAGAGGGAAGACATGACAAGGAATGATCTTCTGAGCCCAGGGAAGGGATCACCTATTACCAATCTTTATTCATACACAGAGTTCTGGGAGACCATAGTTTGTTCCAGTGTTAATAATACTATTAGTAATAACTGCTGAGTCTCTCACATGCTGCTCAGGTTTTGCAGACCAGCTTGTGAGCATGGTGCTGCATGCAGTTGATCAAACGTTTTCAGAGCAGCTGAGCTTTTCTTTCCTTTCTCTAATCCAGAGTGCAATGATGCAACATTATCCTTTCAGACACTCCCTCCCACAGCCGGAGATAAGTGGGATTCACAGAAGACAGGTGATAGAAAGATAGCAGCCTTTATTTTGACTGCCTTCTGGCAGACAATGCATAAAACATTTCTTGGTAAAAGCGTCTCACCATCTGTGTTGAGGATGTGCTTCTTGGGAAGTGGTGCATCCGAGGTGTAGCTAAGTAATGCTGATAGGGCTGAGGAACTGGACGGACCTGGAACTGAGTGTGGGTTAGTCCCGCATCAACACTGAGGTCCCTGTGGACACAAGGATGAGGATATGGATTTTAGATTGGAGATTAGGAACAGTTATTTCACCAGAGGATGATCAGGCATTGGAACAGGCTGCCCAAGGCAGTGGTGAAGTCACCATCCCTGGAAGTGTTCACACACCATGTAGATGAGGCCCTTAGTGACGTGGTTTAGTGGTGGCCTTAGCAATGCTGGCATAATGGTTGGACTGGATGAACTTAAAGGTCTTTTCCAACCTAGTTTATTAAATGATTCTATATTCCTATGGCTTTGACTGCATGGTTATATTGCATGGCTTATACCAACCCAGGTCATGCTCAAGGGCAACCTCCACTGGTGGGATCTGGGCTGCTGTGGGTTCCTCAACAGTGGGTAATGCTACTGCTTGGAAAGGAGTTTCCTCCATTTTGGGAAATCCCTCATGACTGTACCAGCTCGAAGGAGTAAAGGGTTGCTTTTATGCCAGTTAGCTTTTGTGTTAGCCAGAGTCAAGAGCCGCACAGACTCAGCCTGCTAATTTCAGGGCAAGAGCATGTTGGTGGCTCTGATCAATACCCAGGCTCGGTAACTCAATCTGGTCGGACCAGGTACTCCCCATGTTGCCATCACTGCAAACAATTACATTTTGCCTTGAATATTTTGTGGAAATACAGCTAATTGCTCGGGGAGCACACCAATGAATCATCCACAGTAGTTAAGAGCCAATTAGGCACCACCTGGGGGCTTTTAGATGTGCCTGTGCTTTCCTAGGAGATCTCCCAACTGACATCACGGTAGGACTTGGGGAGGCATGGGAGACTGCACCTTGCCTTAACCCCGCCTCAGGTAGCTCCAGAACTGTTCTGTGTGCAGAAGGGAAGAGATTTACGGGTGAGACTGATGTAGGAAAGGGTGTCACACCACCAGCAGGCCATCACCAATGAATCGTAGAATCATAGAATGGTTGGGTTGGAAAGGACCTAATGATCACTCATTTCCAAACCCCTGCCATAGGCAGGAGTACCTCCCACTGGACAATGAATCAGGACATCCCCAATGGTCTCGCATGCATGCATCCTGGCCTGGGCAAGCAGAACTGGGAGCTCAGCTTGGTGAGTTTGGGTGGATTTTTCCTCCAGAAGAATAATCCATCTCAATCCCAGGGTTTGGCATGACCAAGATCCTGGCAAGCACTACAGCTCTGTCCAGTCCAGCATGCAGAGACAAACTGCAACTCCATCCTCACACTGTGTGGAGGGGATGAGAGAAGACCTAACACAGCTCCTCTGTCTATAATCCAATTAGCTGATCCTTGTCTGTCCAGCTAGAGTGTCTCAGCAAACAAGTACATCATTCTCTTTATCATAATTACAAAAGCCAGCACTGTAATAACCACTGTCTTCACATTTACCAGAGCAAAGCTAATTAGATCACAGGGGTGTCTTCCCGTTTCAGCTTTGAACTTCCTTTCCCCTGAATGAAGGACAGCAGCAGTGAGTGCCATGGCTTGTTAGGAGCAACCCAGATGTGTCCTCCAGCAGCTGGGAAACTGCTTTCACCCAGCAGCAGATAACAGATATGAAGGTACAGTAAATGCAGTAATCCTGTGACCAGAACCACCTGCATACCGGGCACCAATTCCTGGGCTCTATTACTCCCTCATAAAACACCCCACACTAAGGTGAAGCAAAAAGGGACTATCTTTGCTGGGCCTGTGCTAGCCATGTGCTGCACAGACAAAACCTGGCAGAGGATAAGAGACAGCAGGCAGCTGGAAACAGCACAACCAGGGTGAGAAGCTGCAGAACTGGGCACATTCCAGCTCCTGTGTCACAATTTTGGATGTTTATCCAGTTGCTTAAGACTGTTCCCAGGTGGATGGAAGGCTCAATTGGAAATCAGGAGGCTTTGGATCCCTTCCCAGCCCTGTCAGTGGCCTGATGCATGACCTTGACCACTTCCTCTCTGCCTTCCCATATTCACTGTCTAAAAAATAGATGTGAAAATCCCTGGAGTGTTTTGAAATCGAGGGCTGCAGGGATCTCTCAAAGATGAATGGCCATCATTGACTTGCACAAGTAATTGCATTAACAGCACTGCTGAACTGTTTGTGCATTTGTGCATCCAAAGCCTTACAATCAGATACTGGGGCCCCTGAAGTGATGCTGTGGTAGTACAGAAGGGTCTGAAGCAGAAGACTTCATGGAGCGGTGTTTTCTTAGGGTTTGGGGATGGATAAGCAGGGCACATTAGGTAAAGAAAACCAAAACCAACCATCATCTTCTAGCTTGTGTTGCATGGATTACTGTACAAGATCTTGATGCTCAGATGCGAGGTTCAAGAACTGTGATGTTTATGGTACAGGGGCTGCCAACAGCCAGCAAGTCAAGGATAACAGGTTGAATGGTCATCACTAAACACAAATGCAGAAGATGATTTAAGGAACCAAATGGGAGTTTATTTATACCTCACCAGGGGATTTTAATCAAAGTTGGGCTGTCTGAGATGACTGATCATGTTCAGATCTTCCTTCCATCTCCATTTCTCGCAACAGTGCCTACAACTGCTGCTGCTTATGCAGTGGTAACACATTAGAGCAAAGTTTTTATATCCATCACTGGCCAAAACTCTACATGTGCCCCAAGGGGAAGTGAGTCACCCAAATATATATACACAGTGCATGATTTCTGTCATCCTTACTCCTTTGGTTTTATAAGGCTATGGAGCAACACACAGAGGGGAAAGGAGGGAGGAGGAGGGGAACATAAAGTGATGCTTTATCAGATCCTTCTAATGATCATAATTAAACATTCTGCTACCAAACAGAGGCAGAAAGGATGGCTGTATCCAGATGGTACACGAACGGCTTTGCAAACTGATCTGAACAATGTCATCTTGGCCAAATTCAGACCACAGTGGTGCTGGTAATGGGAACACCTGAGAAGAAAACAGCAGAAGGATCTGTCCATACCTTAAGTTGTGTATTATTAACCTGGAGGAAGAAAACTCCCCCTTGTTGAAAGGATTCTCCATTTGCAGAGTGAAGTACTCAGATGTTAGAAAATGCCATAATTAAGATTTCTTGTGCCATTTTATTTTGTTCCCCTTGTGCATACTCATTGTGATTGTCTCTAATTACATGTTCACATGCTATTTCTTCCATTCAGTGAACAGAATGGACTTTCCTCAGCTAACAAGCTCAGAATTATGTTTTTATTTTCTTATTCTTCCAAATAGGGCCCTATTAATACTAACTGCGCAGGAGCTCAAGACCTGCTCTGAAAATGAAACGGCCAATTCCCTGCTCATTTGTTCCAGGATATCGAACACTACAGTGCGAGAACAATTAACAGCTATTAATTCATTCACACCACCCTGCAGGGCAGGTGAGCACAGTGCTCTCTAATTTAGACCGAAGAAGCTGTGGCCACTGTTTCTTGAATGCCTGGTAGACAGCAAGAGATCTAGTTTGGACAGAGACATTGGTCTACAGGACCCTGGCTGTGCCCTTCAGCAGGAAAAGCCCCTGGGGAAGACTAATACTTGGCTGCATGGTCTGTGCATGGATGAAGAGTTACAGGCAATATCAACACCTCAATGTGATCATATACATGCATATAGATGGGGCAAGTTCAGAGGAGGCCATGAGGATGATCAGGGGCTTGAGCACCTCCTGTGTAAACACAAGCTGAGAGAATTCAGTCTGTCCAGGCTGGAGAAGAGAAGCTGCGTGGAGACCTCAGAGCAGCCTTCCATTAACTGAAGGGGGCTACAGGAATGATGGAGAGGGACTTTTCATCAGGGACTTTAGTGACAGGACAAGGGGTGATGGGTTTAAATTTAAACATGGGAGATTTAGGTTAGATATAAGGAAGAAATTTTTTACTATGAGATTGGTGAGGCACTGGAAGAGGCTGCTCAAGGAAGTTATGAATATTGCTTGTGCAACCTGGTCTAGTGGAACGCATCCCTGCCCATGCAGAGGGTTGAAAGCAGATGACCTTAAGGTCCTTTCCAATCGAAACCATTCTATGATTCTGTAAGTGCTTCAGCCAAGATGTCCCTCCCTAAGATGAGTTTCCTATTGCACACATTATATCTGTTGAGCTGAACCATTAACTTCCGTGAAGCGCTGATCCATGGTGACATTCATAAACACTTGTACCCTTCCAATGCTTTTCAAAGGCATCATTCTAAACACTAGTGAAATGTGGAAGACTTACCAATCCGTGCCTTCGGCTAAATACCTGGGCTGGGGCCCTATGGGTTGTGGAGTTTGCAGTTGGTGGCTGAAGTCAAAGCTGGGGTGTAGGCGATGAGGCTGGACAGACATACGCTCTTGAGCCCGCCTGTGGGGAGGAGATAGAGTGGGTGAGCCATGCGGCCTCACTGGTATGTACAGCTCCTGCTCAAGAGTATGTGTCAATGAATGAAAGGACAGAAACAAACTGTTGGGCTTGTGAATATGCCCCATCCCTGGGTTCAAGGCCAGGTTGGACAGGGCTTGGAGTAACCTGATCTAGTGGAAGGTGTCCCTGCCCATGGCAGGAGGCTGGAATTGGATGGACTTTAAGCTCCCTTCCAACACAAACCAGGCTGCGATTCTACGTGTTCAAGAGAAAAGAGTCCAGACAGGTATCAGGGATGATAGGAAGAGGCTATGTCATTTACTCATGGTTACCACAGACAAAATGCAGACCTCCGCTTTCCCCCACCTGCCATGGCATCCACTTATGCTCACTTTACAGGAGATGCTATTACTCTCATGGAGAGAAAAAGAGGAAACCAAAGAACTTCTTCCTCAGCAGCTTTGTGCCATTTGCACGATTTCATTTTTCACTGCCAGCCCCATAAACAAGACAAGATAAAACGTGTCTCTGCTTCAGCCATTATCTATCATCATAAAGAAGCTGCAGGTTGTCTCGTCTCCCCATGCAGTCCATAAACTCCTGGAAAACCTCATTCATAACAGGATTACTGAGGAGTAACTGAAAGCAGAATTTACTCTCGCTGGCCTTTGCCAATATTTCTCTGGATGATGGACAGGGCAGGCTGGGATCCAGCTCCTTTTCCCTCAGCTCTGCTGACTTTGCAGGCAGGTAAAGGAAAACGGTAGAAAATGCAGTAAGGTTTTTCTGAGGATTTGAGTCTCTTCTCTTGATAACTGCTTATTTGAATTACTTAGGGGTAGTGCATGTGCTGCTTGATCTGTATCCCCATTTGGAGAGAGACAAGGTGGATGCACAAGCAGGATTTGTGTTACAGACTCATACACCTTGCTCCCTGCTGAGTCCCTGCTTACCAGTGGAGTCATCACAAAACCTATGGGAAAACACTAAAGCCAATGCAGCAGGGAACAGCTAGATAAAGAGTTTTTCATGCAGCCACAGTTCACAGGCTTCAATTTTATAGACGTAGCCCAGATTCCCATTACTGGGACCTCATGCCTGTAAGCTGTGAGGATTCTGACACCCTCGTCTGATGCAGGTGTGCTTTCAGAAACAGGATGTGGGACTAGGCAAGATGTTCCTGACCTTTTCCACACCACAACCCACTTCCAAATGTAATTCTGACAGCATCCACCAAAGCAGCTTCTTCATGGAATTATGCTCTGTGCTTTTATTTGAATTCAGCTTATGACTAAGAGATAAACACTTGTATCATCAGTGCCTCAGCCTTGCACATATTTGCTACCCAGTTATTAACTAATCATTAAATCCACCTAAAACCCCAGCTTATGCAAAACAAAACAAGGATGGGAAGAACACACGATTTTCAGGCAGAAAGAGTACGGAGAGAAAGTGTTTTCTGTCTGCAGCCTTCTTTCCATGTGAAGTATTATCACAAAGACTCATCCTCTGATTCTTGATCCATGGGTACAACCCACAAATAGCTTCCATATGTTTCCAAAAAAAGTGTTCCTCTCCTACGTGCTATCTAAACCCCTCTCTCAAGAAACACAGTCAGGACAAGGCCAGGCATCCATTTCCACCTCTGCTGAGTAAGTCTCTCTGCAGTCATGAGCCCAGTCTGAATTTAGGCTGCTTTCCATGGCTCAATGTGCTGCAGGTCAACAGTGTCATTCCCTCATTGAGCTGGGAAGCCTACCTTGACCCAGAGGAGCAAGGCCTTCATGTGCAAAACCTGATGGGATGGGTGAGTACAGTCTCTGACATGGTTTTGAAACAGGAGCTGTGATGAGGTAGCTCATAGAGTCTATTGCTTTCTGTTACATGAAGAACATGAAGAGCAAGTAACAATAATAGACGACCATGGAACATACTAGATGAGCACATTCTGTATCCCCATGGGAAAGGTGTACCCGCAGGTGCAACTTGCCCTGCGTCTTCTCTTCTGGTGGATGCATTTCAGGGGTACACAATGAACTTATTTGTGAAGAAAACCCAGCATTACGAGCATGCGACTCTGAAATGGCTACAGAGAAGGGCAATGGAGCTCGTGAAAGGACTGCAGCACAAGTGTGATGAGGAATGGCTGAGGGATCTGGGGGGTTTAGTCTGGAGAAGAAAAGGCTCAGGGATAACCTTATCGCTCTCTGTAACTACCTGAAAGGAGGATGGAGCCGGGAGGGGGCTGGTCTCTGCTCCCAAGGAACAGGTGACAGGACAAAAGGAAACGGCCTCAAGCTGCACCAGAGATTAGGAACAAGTTTGACCTGAGATTAGGAACAGTTTCTTCCCCAAATGGAGGTCAGGCATTGGAACAGGCTGTCCAGGGCAATGGTGGAGTCACAATCCCTTGAACTGTTCATAGGCTGCATAGTGACATGGTTTAGTGGTGGCCTTGGTAGTGCTAGGGTAACAGTTTGACTTGCTGAACTTAAAGGTCTTTTCCAACTTACATGATTCTATGATTCTATGTCTCTACATACTTTCAGGGTTTTGCAGGAGCCATTTTGCTGAAGTGAAGCTAAGATAGGTTCTCAGTATCCTACAAGACAAGTAGGTTCCCCTTACCTGTGATGGGGCATAAGCCGGCGGTGCTGTGCCTCTAGGAGCTGCTGCTGGAGGAGGTATTGCTGGTGTAGCGCCTGAGGTAGGAAGGAGGGTCCGGCCATGTCCTGGAAGGGCAGGGCTGGCACTGGGGCCAGGGGCTGGTGCAGGGGACCACTGTGCTGGTGTGGGGGGGCCATGTGAGGAGTCAGCCCCGGCTGGGGCTGCACTGCGTGGGGCAGGGCGAAGTCAGCAGGGAGCTGAGGCTGGGGACCCAGGTGGAAATGCCGGCAGGAGGTAGCATGGGGATGCTGAGACCTTTGAAATGGAGCACCTGGAAGAGAAGATCACAGCTGTCAAGGAGGCCAGTGGCAGCCAGGGCAACCCAGCACAGTGGTTGGCCATCCAGGGCAAGAACTGGGAAAACATCAGTTTTCTTCTCTGCTAAAAGGGTTAAAAAGAAAGAGAACAGGTCAGTTAACATCGATTACATGGCAAATATTGATTTTGACTAATAGCTTTTCTCCTCCAAAGAACATTGGAACCAAAACATATGTTTGAGTTCAATATGAATTTTGGCTCCAAACTAAAGTGTGTAGTGATCAAAACTACTTCAGCTTGGTTTGGTTTTCCTGTCTTAAAGAGAAAAGAAGAAAAAAATAGTGCCTGTAGTGATAGGTCAAGGGGTGATGGTGTTAAACTAAAAGAAGGGAGATTCAGACTAGGTATAAGGAAAAAATTGTTCATTGTGAAGATTGTGAAACACTGGCACAGGTTGCCCAGAGAGATGGTAGATGCCCGAACCCTGGAAACATTCAAGGCCAGGTTGTGCGTAGCTCTGACCAACCTGGTGCAGTGGAAGATGTCCCTGCTCATTGCAGGGGGGTTGGAACTAGATGATCACTGAAAGCCTCTTCCCAGCCAAACCATTTGATGATTCTGTGATACAGCCCCAGCATTTTAGGAAAAGGGAAAAAAACAGCTGTTTACCAAAATATGTTGCATGGGTTATGAGCTCACTGAAGTTTTCAAAGCTTGCTGACATTCTAAGCCATTCAAGGTGTTTCTTTGCCTGTCTAAATATGTCTCATAGGCAAGGAAATAATCTTTGCTCTAAGAAACTGTCTTGCTGACTGCAGGACATGAATGAGACCTTCCATTTCTGAAGGCCAGGATTAAGACCATGTGTCTTTGCTGAGACCCTTCAATAGCCCATCCTTGTGAGCTGCATGCAGGGAGAGGATGGCTGCAGAAAACACAACAGCAACAGCTATGAGACCAGCCATGAAACTGATTGGAATGAGGAAGAAATGAGGTGTGAAAGTCATTTCTAGTGGAGCCTTTTGCAAAACATCTATCACTGGACTGTGCCTTGTTGGATAGGCCCTTGGCCCAATATGGCATGTTAATTTACAGGCATCATGGTAAAATTTCTGGCTCTTCAACTAGGGAAAGATTCAACTCCAAGGTGAAGAATAGCTCGAGTGAAGTTATTATAGATGCCTCTTTGCTGAGGATCAGCCTCAGAATAGAACATCTACCCTTTAGTGTTTTGAACACCTTCCTAAAAACCTCCTCTTCCTTTTTTAACCTTTGCCAACGGCACAAAATATCCAGGAACAACAGCACCAGGAGACACTGAGTGTCATCCCAAGCCATGGACATCATGTATTCTTCACACAGATCCCTTCTGCTCCCATCTCCCATCTGCCAGCAGGCAGGTTCAGTTCATCACAGAAGCACAGGGAGCCCTGACTGCTCACTGTTCATACCCCTATGGAAACAGGAGATGCACAAAGCATGTCAAATACCAGCAAGGGAAACAATGGGAGAGGACCTAACAGAAAAAAATGGTTTGCAAAACTCTGTGTAAGTAATTACAGTATCTTAAATACAAGCTAATCCTCCACAGTGCCCCTCTGAGAAAGGCAGCAGGTAACAAATATGTGTGCCACCAGCAGCAGCACTTCTTAAGGTGATAATTTCTCATGCTGTCAGATAACAGTGTGGTTCGACTATGTTATCAATTAAAACCAGAGGAGGTGGGATCAGAACTGCCATTCTTCCGTGACAGAGCTGCAAACTCAGACCCAAGAGCCATTCACATACCCCACTCCCCCAGTATTGGTCATATTTGTTGCTGTCACCAATTCACTGTAAGCCACAGGCGTGTAAAGGCTGAGTAACGAAATGGGAATTCTGTGCTGCCCTGGCACATTGCTAAAGCTGAGCAGCACCATAGTCATGGGGAGATGCCTCCTAACTGCTGTGCTAGTTGGGTACTTGCAAAGCAATTCATGGTGAATTGCTCAACCTTTAATGTCCATGGATTCCTCCCCATGGGAAGTTGCTACTGGTGAGCCATTTTACACTTCCAGGTCTTCACAGGGCCTGAAAACAAGGTGCAAGAGCAGGTAAAAGGGCTAGCCCCTCTGCGCACCCTAACACAAGTCTGTGACCTTAGTGTAGTTGTATTTCAGACAAAAACAGCTTAGAGTAACACAAGACAGTGAAACTTAAGTGGTATTCCCACACGTTTACTGAGACACGCTGTAGCACACAAGTAAAGCAAAAAAAGCCCGTCTCTCATCTCCTGATGCCTGGTGCAACTTTAGCTAAGGATTTCCAGCCTTTTTTGTGTGTCTTGGGAGGCCTTAGTCTGGTTTAGTGAAACACCTGCAGGACCTGTCAAACCCCAGAGCTGCTAATTGCATCCTCCACAAGCCATATTGCCTACCAGTGGCTGCAGGAAGGTGATGTCTTGGGATCAGCAAGGCAGAGACCTCTCAGCTCACTGAGCTTGAGGTTTGGTCCTCATCCTACAGGAGGATTCTCCTTCTCCTTTGGGATACTTTGGTTTTGAAGGAAGAGAGGTCAGCCAGGTCTTGGATGATTTTTTTGATGGCCTACCCCAAAGGAACCTAGCAGGGTCAGCAGCTTTGCTGCAAATACCTCTCTTCTCCAGCTAAAGAGGAAGGGAGAAGCGCAGTGTCCTTGCTGCAGAGGTAACACAGTCCTCACTGGCCCCAAGAGGCTTTTGACCTGAGGCCAACCTGGAAATATGGGGCCCCATGTCCAGCTTGCTGGCCAGAAGGACCGACCTACCCTGTTGTGTGATTCCACTGACGTAATCCTCCTGGGGGCACCAGTAGCTCCAACTGCTCATACCTCAAGCCATGGAGCACTGATTTCTCTGAGCTCATTGTCAGACTGCCCATCAGCTAGAAATCCTTCTTTCCTTGTCCTGTTGGTTCTTCCTTTCATTTAAGTGCTATTGTTGTGGCAGATGATGACAGCTCAGAGCAACATCAGATCAGCAGCTCTGAGATGAGCAGTGCGTCACATCTGACAGCAAAGCAGATGACTTATTGCAGTTTTGTGCAGGCTCCCATTAGCTGTTTGAGGCCAAATGTCACTAAAATTAGGGACGTCTGTCTCAATGCAAGCATCTAAACTGAGCTATTTCTCAGCAGAGCACAATGCATTCCTTCCGTCTCCATAACCCTTTCTGCCTTCTTCACATTAGTTCCTAATGCTCTTCTGTTGACCATACGCATTTGCAAGGTCTGTTTTTGCAAGGTCTGATTTTCTCAGCCCTCCCATCCACCCAAGTTCCCACCATGGGCAACCCTGGCTGCTTTCCATAGTGTTGGCCTCAGCTAAGCTCCAAAGGCAGCTAATGTCTATGCTGGTTTTCAAAGCCAGGTTGGACAGAGCCTTGGGTGACATGGTGACATGCCCATGGCAGAGGGGTTGGAACTTGATGATCTTAAGGTCCTTTCTAACCCTAACTATTCTGTGACTCTATGCCTAAGCCTGGATAATCCAAGCCTAAAAAGGGACACCTCACACTAGATCATGTCATGCAAAGCTCTGTCCAACCTTGGCCTTGAACACTGACAGGGATAGAGCATTTACTACTTCCTTGGGCAGCCTGTTCTAGTGCCTCACCACCCTCACAGGGAAGAATTTCTTCCTTACATCTAAACTGAACTTCCCTATTTCAGTTTAGACCCATCACCACTTGTCCTATCACTACAGTCCCTGATGAAGAGTCCCTCTCCAGCATCAGTGTGGCCCCCTTCAGGTACTGGAAGCTGCTCTGAGGTCTCCACACAGCTTCTCTTTTTCAGGCTGAACAGCCCCAACTTTCTCAGCCTGTCTTCATATGGGAGGTGCTCCAGCCCCTGATCATCATCAAGACTCTCCAATCTGTGCTTTGCTAATTCCTGATGCTGCCAGAACACAAGTACAGATCAGTAGCAGCCCTGGCTGGCCTGACTCACCTCCACTGCTGCCATGGACACTGTGCCTTCACTGGGATGTCAAGGACTCACCATGGAGGTGGGTTTGCTGTATTCCCCACAGCTACATAGCTTGGCAGCACTGTGAGTGCCATCTCCCTACCAGCACCATTAAGACCATCTTCAACTAAAATGTCCTTGGGGAAGATTGCTTAATAGCTACATACAAACCACCCAAAACACTTAGCTGGAAGACAGTGTTAACGTGCTACAGTCTCAAACTGAGGAGGTATAAATTTGTTTTTAGAAAGGCAACAGATGATGCAGGCGTGTGGAGAGATGAACCTGTTCTGCTGCTCGCTGTTTCCACCCTTCCAACACAGTGGAAACCCACGGGAAAACTCATCAAGTCAGCCTCAGTGCTGCTTTCTCACTTCCACAGCTTTTCCTCTTTTCCCCTTTCTCAGTTCTACAGTTATATTTATTGTTTCTATACATTTTCTGAAGCAGGCTGGAAGTTTCTTATTAAAAGAAGTGCTGCTACTTCCCTTATACCCCCAGGTGAACCCTAACTTCATCTGTTATTGCAGGTTGGTACATGACATCGAGTCACAGAATTGTACTGGTCTGATACTAGGTGTTTCTGTCATCAGTCATGATTTGACTATGTCTATGGGCATGCAAATTTATAAATCCAGCAATATTTCACTCATAAAGGCTCAAGGGATCTCAGTTACCATTAAACACTGACCCATATCAGAGATGAAAAGCCCCTGGGTAATCCCTGCTGGGGGGATGCTATGCAATTGATGAAAAGAAGACCCCAGAAAGCAGAACTATCTATTTCCACCTGCTTTCCTTATGGCAATCATGTATTTGATGCAGTCTGGCTACAAGTAAGGGACAAAGATGAGACCTGGAGCTGGCGCTGGGGATAGGTACTTTGAGCAGACAGCTGCAGCCCAGGGAGGCCGGTGCTTTTCAGAGCAAAACAGAATCTGTCTATTGCTGTTAAGATGCCTGTGATGCATGTGCATTTTTCCCCTGGGTAAGACAACCTGGCCAGCTTGACAAGGCATTCATGGTCTGC